TCGCCGTTGTCCTTGACCAGCACCAGCAGCCGGTGGCGGGGCGCGTCGCGCTCGCTCAGCGGCCGCGCCGTGCGCACCTCGCCGTTGTGCGCCCACACGCCGAACAGCCCGGGCTCCGTGGCCCTGAGCAGCTGGTAGGACAGCCAGGCGTTCTGGCCCGAGTCGCCGTCCACCGCCACCACCTTGCCCACCAGGTAGCCGGGCTCGGCCGCCCTGGGCACCAGCTCGGTGCAGGGCGCAGAGCCGTTCTGCGGCGGGTACAGCACGAAGGGCGCGTTGTCGTTGGCGTCCAGCACGCGCACGCGCACCAGCGCCTGGCCGCTCAGCGCCGGCGCCCCGCGGTCGGTGGCGCGCACGCGGAACTCGAAGGCCTGCAGGGCCTCGTAGTCCAGCGCCCGCAGGGCGAACAGGTGGCCGTTGTCGGCGTTGACCGACACCAGCGAGGCCAGCGGCAGGCCGGGGTCCGGGGGCGGCAGCAGCGAGTAGGTGAGCTGGGCGTTGGCGCCCGCGTCGGCGTCGGTGGCGCTGACGCTGCCGATGTGCAGGGCGGGGCTGTTGTTCTCGGGGACGAAGAGGGTGTAGGAGGTTTGGGTGAAGGCGGGGGCGTTGTCGTTGACGTCGGAGACCAGCACGGTTATGTGGTGCTGGGTTGTCAGCCTGGGGGTCCCCATGTCGGTGACGGTGATGGTGACGTTGTACTCGGCCTGGTTCTCTCTGTCCAGCGCTCCTTCTGTTACCAACGTGTAGAAATTCTCTACCGATGGTCTCAGAAGAAAGGGGAGATTATCGTCTATAGAACAAATAACCTGTTGGTTATGTCCAGAATCTGCATCTGATACACTGAAAACTGCCACTATCACCTCTGGCAGGTTTTCAGGGATGGGGCTGATGAGGGACGACATAGTCAGTTCAGGAGCATTGTCATTCACGTCCAGGACATTGATGACTATCGAGCATTTTCCTGATAGTCCCCCGCCGTCTGTGGCCTCAACATCCACGTGATAAGATTGAAATTCCTCAAAATCCAACGACTTTCTCAATCGAATTTCTCCTGTGATTGCGTTAATTTCAAAGGGTTGGTTAAGGTTATCGATTTGAAATAGGGCATAAGATACCTCCCCAAAGGATCCTGCATCTAAATCTGTCGCTGAAACGGTGATAACCAGAGAGCCGAGGGAATTATTTTCAGGAACTTGCACCTCATAGAGTTCCTGAGCAAACTCGGGGGCGTTGTCATTGATGTCCAAGACCCGGATGTGAATGTCGGTGGTCCCGGACCGGGGCGGAGACCCGCCGTCCAGCGCGGTGAGGGTCAGCCTGAGCTCCGGCTGCTGCTCGCGGTCCAGCGCTTTGTCCAGCACCAGCTCTGGGAACTTCCTGCCGTCGCTGCGGTTGCGGGTGAGAACGTGGAAGTGAGAGTTGGAGCTGACTGTGTAGCTCTGGAGGCTGTTGCTACCCACGTCTAAATCCTGTGCCATTTTCAAAGGAAATGTCTTTCCTGGAGTAGTAATTTCTGATATTTTTAGTAGCATTTCTCTGGCGGGGAACTCCGGGGCGTGGTCATTTATATCTCCGACTCTCAAGGCAGCCTGGAAAAACTGCAGGGGATTTTCCAGTAACACCTGGAAAGGCAGCACACACGGCTCAGTGGAGCCGCACAGCTCCTCCCGGTCCAGTTTTTCATTTAGCAGCAAATCATAGGTGTGTGCGTCAAGCTGCAAATGCTGTCTGTTCCCCTTGAAAACAACCCGGGCTCCCCGCGTGGCCAGCTCTCCGGGACTGAGTCCCAGGTCCTTTGTCAAGCTGGTCACAAATGTGCCACTTTCTGTCTCCTCCAATACAGAATACTGAATCAATTCTGATCCCACCTCCCACAGAAGCATCAATAGAATTAAAGTTGCCACTTGCCTTTTCTTGCGATGTGCTTCTGTTTGCGCCATTTCTATTGTTATGTCTGATTCCAGGGGGCAAATCCGTTCTCACTCCCAACCACCACATCCACCGTTGACCCTCCAAAATGTCTTTGCTAAAGAATTTCTAATTCGTTCTTTTAACTTGCTTGGCGATGACTGCCTTCCTGAACACGTCTTGGCTTTAGCTTAAATGTGTTCTGTATTTTTTTCTTGGGTTTCTCGGTGAAATGGCGACCACTGAATCTGCAGAGCTTGGATTTACTCTCTTAGCCTGCACTGCCACCACGCGTTCAAATTAATAACTTCAGGAGGTGCTTGCAGCTCAATACCATTTCCAAAATCTGAGCGTTATAAAGACTTTTAGGTCTAGTCAGCGTTTCTCAAACTGGAGTGTGTGAACCACTTGTATAAAGGATTGCCTGGGAGTCTTGGTTTTTCCCCCCCCCAAGTCAATTCGGGGCTTCTCTCTGGATCTTGAAACAAATTCTCTGGTGGTGCTAATGGCAATCTGCACTTCAGTTTTTCCCCTTTCATGCACGCTAAAGTTTAATTAAGAATTACTCCCTCAGGTAACGTAAACTACTTGTGATCAACTTTTATTCTTTAGCCGTGCAATTTATCTCTGATGAGCAGTGTAATTTGTGAACCCAACAAATACACTATTTAAGTGTCCCAACAAACATATCAACAAACTACACAAAAGTAAAAGTTGGTTAGCAACACTGACAGTAAAATAAGCAATCATTTCTCTAAATTACATGACTTACAAAATGGCAGGAACAACAGACTGACCTTGGTTTGTGGTTACACCTGCACAGTTAAGGGAACAATTAGGCTATTAGGAAGAAAATTGAGGCCAAGGAGTACTTATGATGGAAGTGTCTTATCAAATTAAATTATTCTTAAAAGGAACTAGGAGCAATCAAGTATCTGTCATAAGTAAACATTTTAGGATTCCACTTTATTTTTGTGTGGGTATTATTTGGTCATTATTTTATTGGACTTGTTCATTTCACTTTAAAAATAAAATCTCCCTCCTATATTAATTAATCAAGATCCAAGTATATTACCCTGTTGTAAGAACATAATGCAATGTAGAAAGCATTCAAGACTCACTTCTACCATCCTCTCGCAACAAGGATGATGCTAGGTCCTATAATTATAGAGCAAATTAGATAGTGTGAAAGGTGAATTACATTTGAGTGGGTACCATGGAGTTCAATGATAATTCATCCTGGCTACATCCATTCCTATCTCACCAGTTTCTGCTCAGATAAATAGGAAAACGTATCTCTAAATACCTGGAAATACATTAAATGGGTCAGTGCACATATAAGAACTCAGATACACCAAATAGAATTCATTTCAGATTGATTTAATATTTAAGGAGAGGTAAAATCAATTGAGTTCAAGCAAAATCCACTTCAGGTAAAAGCCAAAATGATGGGAGATTTAAAATGAGGATATTTTTCCAAAATATTTCAAGTCTAGGTAAAATAAGTAAAGCTAAATAAAATCTAAACTCTGTACAGATGGAATAATTTTTTAGTTGAAAAGCACCTCTATCTACCTACCTAGAAGGATAGAAATAAGATCAGTGTGACCAGCTTCCATGGTTTACTTGTTAAGTGTTACTGAGAATAGACTTCCTTGAGGATATCAATAACAAAATAAACTGATGAAGTAAGCCAACAACTGTAACCATCTTGGATGGGTTAAATTTCTTCTCTGAAACAAAGCTATTTCCAGCTCAATCCTCAATGCTTCCTTCTTTCAGTGGGCATTCTAATTCCAGTTTAATGGCACCCCTGGCACCCAGAGTCCTTCATTCACTCTCTCTACCTATAGCACCACCAGGCATCCTCAAATACAGCTTACTTGATTCTTTTCCGTTTTAAAGCAAATTTTATTAGTGCAGTATGTGTAAAACTCAATTTAGGTCATTGAAATGCCATTGAAAATGTTGGTTGGTATAATAGGAAGAAGATAATAGCTAACATACCCCCCCAAAATATCAGTTGGATATGTGAAGAAGTTGCCTTTTTCTGGAAAGTGGATTTCATTAGATTCCTTCAGGAGAATGCTCCTCAGTTTTGTTCTTTTTTTGCTCTGATTTGATTTCTAGAGTAGAGGTAAGTTAACTTTGCTTTTATAAACGTCTCACAAGGAATAATTCATTTAAAAATTTAATTATGAAAACAGTTCAACATATAACAAGGTAAACATCATAAACTTCCATCTACATATCGCCCAGTTTCACAACACTCTGTCTTTTTCATCTATACATTTCCTTCTGCTCTCAGCCTGCCACTCAGTGTTTTCTAGAGTAGAAGTGAGTTGACTCATAGGTTGAGGCTCAGCCATGCCAGCCTGGCTCAAATGCACTAATCTTAATGGTAGCATTTTAACAAATGGATCCATCCAGGTAGCCCACACCTCTTTCAAGATATAGAACATTTTCAGCATTCACTGGGAATCATCTTAATCACATTTTCCAGCTTACTTTAGTAATTAAGTGGCAAAACTTGGTCTCTTTTGGACGCAAGATGGGAAAACAAACAATGTAAAAAAGCACCATATCCCATGCCTCACGTACTCTAAAGTCAACTGACAAATAGTTTCAACATGAATTCATGTGGATTATTACCAGTGAGTTGAATCATACTTTAACTGATGAAACATTGTAAAATATATTAAACTTAATTTTGTTTAGTTAGCTTATAATTATTACATACCTGATCAAGTTGATTTCCATTTTTATGCTATATGTGTTTGTTTTCCTTTCATTCCATCAAACATTTAAAAATTCCTCAAGTTTATTTAAAGTGAAAGTCAAGGATGAATTGAATCTCTTAAAAATCTTTTTAAATTTAGTTATATACAGGGAAAAACAATAATTCAGGGAAATATATATTTTCTTAAAGAAACCTCTCAATTAATGGGAGAAATGCTGCAGAAATTTTTGAAAATATGAAGGATTTGATGTGAAACACATCTGAAATCAGAAATGGTTGAGAAGGAAGGTTTTTGTCAGTCTTGCTAGATGTTTGTCAATTTTGTTGATTTTTTTCAAAGAACCAGCTTTTTATTTCATTGATTTTCTCTATTATTATTTTTGAATGTCATTGATTTCCTCTATTACTTTCATTATTTCCTTCTTCCTGCTTACTGTGGGTTTATTTTCCTCTCCCTTTTCTATATTCTTGAAGTGAGAGCTTAGATGACTAATTTGAGACTTCTCTTTTTGAATATATGCATTTAGTACTATAAATTTCCCTCTCTGTGTTGTATTAGCTGTATCTTGTAAATTTTGATATGTTGTTTTTTCATTTCGAATTCAGTTCAAAGTGTTTTTCATTTCACTTGAGACTTTGTTTTGATCCATGGGTTAGTTAGAAGCATGTTGTTTAGTTTCCAAGTATTTGAATTTTTCCCATTATTTTTATGTTATTTATTTTTATTTTGATGCCATTGTGGTTGGAGAACCCACACTGTGTGATTTCAATTATTTTAGGTTGGTTTAAGTTTGTGTTATGACCTTGTTTATGTGTTCTATCTTGCATGTGTTCTGTGAGCATTTGAAAAGAATGTGCATTTTACCCTGGCTGGCGTGGCTCAGTTGGTTGGGCATTGTCCTGTGTACCAAAAGGTTGCTGGTTTAATTCCAAGTCAGGGCACATGCCCAGGTTGTGAGCTTGATTGCTGGTGGGGGTTGTGCAGCAGGCAGCCGATCCATATTTCACCACTGATGTTTCTCTCTCCCTCCTTTTTCCTTCCTCTCTCTCTAAAAGTCAATAGAAATATTTTTATTATTTTTTAAATATATCTTTATTGATTTCAGAGAGAGGAAGGGAGAGGGAGAGAAAGAGAGAAACATCAATGATAAGAGAGTCATCATTGATCGGCTGCCTCCTGCATGCCCCTGACCGGGGATGGAGCCCACAACTGGGCATGTGCCCTGACTGGGAATCAAACTGTGATCTCCTGGATCCTAGGTCAATGTTCAACCGCTGAGCCACACCCAGCTGGGCCAATACAAATATTTTTAAATAAAGCAAGAAAAGAATGGGCATTCTGGTACTGAAAAGGTGTTCTAGAAATATAGATCAGACCCCATGTTGTTGAGTTCCTCTGTATCCTTACTGACTTCTCTGTCGAGTTGTTCTATCATTTGTTGAGATTGTTGAAGTCTGCAACTTGACTTGTGGATCTGTCCAATTCTCTTTTAAGTTCTATCAGGTTTTGCTTCACATATTTTGCAACTCTATTGTTTGGTGTATATTGGTTGCTCCATACATAACTCATCACAGTTTACTGGTGTTGTCACTTTACCAGTTCATGAAAGGGGTGGAAAACTTACCTGCCTGTACAACTTTTTACCCTCCCCCATTTATAATATATCATATGTAATTAAATATTACTTCTACCTACATTTAGAGTTATATCAGACTGTTATAATTTTGTGTGTTTTTTAAAAATTTATCTTTATTGTTGGAAGTATTACAGGTGTCCCATTTTTTTCCCTGCAATTGACCCTCTCCACCTCGCTCCCACCCCCTCCCCAGGCCTTCACCCCGTTACTGACTGTGTCCATTGGCTTATGCTTATATGCATATAACTTCTTTGATTAATCTCTTCCCACCCTCCACCCCCCTTCCCTCTTTCCTCTGAAATATGATCATCTGTTGCATGCATCAATATCTCTGGATCTATTTAGTTCATCAGATTCTTTTGTTCATTAGCTTCTTCTTAAAGAAAACCCTTCAATATTTCCTGTAGTGCTGGTCTGGTGGTGATGAACACCTTTAGCTTTTTTTTATCTGTGAAGCTCTTTATCTGACCTTCAGTTCTAAATGATAGCTTTGCTGGGTAGAGCAATCTTGGTTGTAGTTCCATGTTTTTCATCACTTTGAATATTTCTTGCCACTCCCTTCTGGCCTGCAAGGTTTCTGTTGAGAAATCAGCTGACAGTCGTATGGGTGCTCCCTTGTAGGTAACTAACTGCTTTTCTCTTGCTGCTTTTAAGATTCTCTCTTTGTCTTTAACCTTTGGCATTTTAATTATGATGTGTCTTGCTGTGGGCCTCTTTGGGTTCCTCTTGTTTGGGACCCTCTGTGCTTCCTGGACTTGTAAGTCTATTTCTTTCCCCAGGTAGGGGAAGTTTTCTGTAATTATTTTTTCAA